GATCCTTAAGATTCCTCAGATCCTGCAGGTAGAGCTTGTGCGACTCCTTGGTCGATGGGGGAAAGCTCTCCTCCCATCCGTCGCGATAATGGATCCTCATCCTGTTCTTGCCCTTGGCATCGAACTGGTATCTTGCTCCGCCAGTCAAGATCGTGATGTCGGTGAAGTAGTCAGCTCCCCTGTCGAAGTGGACGGAGTCGGGGCCAACGCAGCAACCGTTAACCAGTCCTTCGTGATCAGGTACTGGTGACACGAGGACCATTGCTGTTGGGGAAGGTCCCTTATGGGTACCTTCCTGAAGCAGCCCTTCGATTGGTCCCCTTGGGGTACCAATCTCCGGGTATGCTTCTGAACCCTCCGCAACCAAAGCCTTAACTGCAGGCCTAACTCTATCTATGGACCTATGCTCGGTGGTCCTAAGTGCCTTAACGCAAGCTGGCAAGTCTTCCTCGAATGCGCTTAGACAAAGTAGTAACAGCCCTGTTTCTGAGCACCTTGCGAGAGGTACCCTCGATAACGAGCTGTCACGGTTGCGGATCATGCAGGTACATGTTTTCATGTCCTTAATGAGTCCTAAGGTACTCTGGGCAAAGAGGCTCAGCAACAAGGGGTTTCGGGCAGAGGTGTCTACTTCGTGAGATTCTAGTACACCGCCCATTGTGGTATCCCCCTTGGTTATGCTGAATGGCAAACGACGTTTTCCAAGGGTGTTAGATGTTGCACCTAACCCCGCAAACGACTTTGTCCTAGAATCAACCCAAGGGAAACTTAGGCCTAGCGCCTTAAGTCTTTTCTCGGCTAGTGCTCCCCAGGATGCACTGTGGCAGGTGGAATTGCAACCTTCATCAAGAGCACCCCATACGTGGGCCTCCAACGGGTCCCACATGTCTACTAGGGGTAGGTTGTCAATTCGGACTAGATCGCTACCAGAAGCTGATCCTGCACCTGCAATATTCCTAGGGAAGACCTTAGGTTTTCCATTCCCCTTTCCTTTAGCCTTTGCCTTAGAGAGGGCCTTGGGTTGTGCAGGTTGGCTTGGCTCTGAACGTAGGGTTCCCCTACCTTTACCTCGCTTAAGCCACCTAGGTTTAGGCTCTATCCCTGGTCCCTTGCCGCCTTGCCCTGCCCGATTGTCCTCGCCGGTGCTGCGGTCGAGGCTGAGCTCGCGCTGCTAGGCAGGTCCTGTCGAGAGGCGGAAGCACTGGCCCTCCCGGGGTCACGAGGCTCCTCGTCGGCTTGCACATAGGCCTGTGCAGCATCTGCCTCCCATCCAACCGACCTATCCCTAGAGTCACCCTTAGGGTTTTCCTTAGGGGTCGGTTTGATTGGTTTAGGGACCTTACGGATATTTTGGTTTTGGCTCGACGACGAGGATGCCTGAGCATTCCTCGGAGAGGATGAGGAGGCTTCCGCCTTCCACTTGGCGCGGATGTACTCAGGTCCTGCCTTTGCGCAGGCCTCTCTGTACTCCTCCTCGCGCCTCTGCGCGTCGAGCTCTCTCCTCCTGGCGAAACCTTCTGCCAGGATCTGTTCCCGTCTGCGTCTCCAGGCGTCATGCCGTGGGAGATTCTGGAGGTCCAGATCTCGTTCTGTTGGATCCTCCCACCAAGGGACCGGCTCGGTTCCCTGTCGCTGGCGTGCTTGGAAGTCCAGCTGCATGATCTCCCGTCCTGGGACGTGTCGCACCTGCAGACGATTTTGAGCCGCTGACGCTGAAACCGGAGGCGTTGCGCTGTCGGCTTCGGCGTCATTCTGAGTCTGCTGACGCGCCTGTTCAAAGGCTGCGTCCAGATCCTCTTGAGCCTGTCTGGCGATATAATCGTCCAGCTCTGCAACATTGTAAGATCCTGGTGATCCGTCGTCAGACGAACCACCTGGGAACGGGTCGTACAGGTCGTCATCGGCCCGAAAGCTTTCCAGTAGAATAGCTTCTCGATAATCGCGATCGAGGTCCGGGTCCTGACTGTACACAACGGGATCGGTCCCCAAGGGATCCGAAATGTTGTACAACTCCGGCACGCTGGGAGTTGGTTCAGGCTCTGGGGACGGATCTGGCTCTGAGGCAGGAACAGCTGGGACAGGCTGTTTAGCCTTTCCCTTTCCCTTGTTCCGCCCGGGGCTACGCCCTCGGGCCACCATTGCTGTCGGGGCGAACTCCCAGGAGGGACTTACGGGACTAGACCCGACTACCATGGTGATTGCTTCCTTGAGCCACAGGTGAAGCCCTGTTGGGTGAATCCGTTCCTCCAATGCAATGGCCTGGTTGACGCGATCTTGGTACAAACCCATGATCTGCAGCACTGCCTCAGGGTCGAGATCAGCGGTTGCGTCGTCAGCGGTAACCGCTTGAACCAAAGGGAGTGCAAGGTCTGTCGCTTCCAAGATGCGCTCCGAGACGGCCTTCCGTTCTCGGTGAAACTCTTGCGGCACTTCATCAACGATAGTGCCACACATTCTACAGAAGGTTCGGGACGTGGTCCTCGAACTACCCCGATGGTCTGTTGCTTCGTGTGAGCATACAGAGGGGTCTACGGTGTACACATGTTCCCGCTTCTCCTGGGATACATGGCCGCAATCTCTGCAAGTCTTGCGGACGTAATTTGCGGAACTTCCTTGGTAGGAGAATTCCGTGCACGAGCTACACTTCTCCGCCAAGGGCGGATTCGGTGGAGTCTTCTTCTTCGCGCCCTTTCCCCTCGGGCGAGGGTTATAGGTTCCCTCATGGGATACCTATCGAGGCACGAGTCTCGCGATAGTACTGACCTCCTACACCCTGCTGAATGACATAATATCTATTAAACCAGGTGAGGAAATCCTTAAGGTGCGCGGCGGGGCTCGGCTGGACGAGGGCCCAGCGCACGAACTCAGTCTTACGGGATACCTCCTCGTAAGTCTGGCCCTTATGCTGACCGAGATTAAATCTTCGGTCGGCCCCCTCCATCTGCATTGAGCTAGATGGTTGTGATGGGGTAGCCTTGGATCTAGCTTCGCTTAGATCCCGCACCATGTGGCCACTAGGGTCCACATCGTTCCCTGAGGGAACGTACAGGCCCCCGTCGGGGTCCTGTCGCGGCTCCACAATTGCTATGTGGGCCCGAGGCTTTCCTTTCCCTCCTTTAGCGGTAGGGAATTTGCACTCAGGGTCACCTGCCCAGTGACCAATAGCTCCACACCTGAGGCATTTCGACCGCGCCTTCAGGTTCTTCATCTTCTCGCGGCGTTCGTCGAGTGTAAGGTGTGATCGCACTACCTTACCCTTTCCTTTGCCCTTTCGGCTCTTGCCTTTGCGCCCTTTCGCTTTACCGAACGCGGCGTTTGCGGCGAGCTGCAATTGGATGACATGGCCGCTGTCTGCATCCTCGGGATCGAGCTCCTCGAGGCAATTCAGGGCAGTTGCCTCTTCTTCTTCGAGCTCGAATTCCTCGTAGCCCGGGTCCTCTTCCTCCTCCCCGGCGGGGTAGGAGTGAGCATCGTATTCGGCCTCGTCCCCATAAGCGGGGTACGAGGTGTCGTCGTATTCTTCGGCGTCGTCGCCATCGTCCTGCGGCGCGTCGTCGTAGTATTGCGTCTCGTCCTCGGCGACGTAGGCGCGACGGTTGAAACCCTTAGACCTAGTTTTACCGTAGCCCTTAGGGTTTCCACGTCGAGCACCGGGGTGGTGTTGCGGTCGACGGTCCTGAAAGGTACCGCCACCTAAGGAACGACCTTCCTTTAGGTGAACGCCACTGTAGTGCTCCACAAGGGTAGCAGCAACAGCTTCAAAACTCCGGTTGCCTGCTGTGCATGCCTTAATGACAAGGCCCTCTTGCCGAGTCAATCCGGAAAGCTCCAGTAGCAATTCTACGCGCATCGGCTCGGAGAGCTCGATGCTGGCGTCCAAGGTTTTGAGCAGTTTCCACCAACGTCGTCGCCGGCTGACGTACGACAGCATCGACTCGCCGCCTTGGCGTGCGAGGACACCCTGCTTCTGGCCCGCACGGAAGAGCTCTCGAGCTTCTTCGGTGGCACGAGGGAAAACGACATTTCTCAACTTGGTGATGAAATCTCGGAGGCCTCCCGGGGCAGTCAGGGACTCGATACCGATGTCCCGGGCAAGTTCGAAGGCTTCGTCCCGAAGTCCTTCTAGCACTTTATGCACCATTTCGGTTCTTGCTTTAACCGAAAAGGATGACATTTCGTCTGCAATCGGCAGTCCTGATACCGAGTCGGACGACTTCGGTGCAGGTGGTCTCTTCTGAGATCCACCATCAGAGGCTGCGGCTGCTGCCTCAGTGACATCCATGTCGGGCCTGTCCTCGGAAGGTACAGGGGCAGTGGCTCCCGCAGTCGGACTCGGCTCCACGACGCGGCTCTCGCCGTCACTGCCTTCCTCTTCTGGCTCCACGGTCTTCTTGGCCTTGCTCCTGATGGCATCCTCATACAGTTTAAGCCTCATAGAGGTCCTAAACTCCCAGTCGTGAAACGTACTGGGGGTGCCATCATAGATGTAGCTCCCGCTGCGAGTCTCCAAAGGAGTACTCGAATACGTGGAGCGATTGTACCTAAGACCGGCCACGGACATTGTTGGGTGAAGGTTCGCAAGAATTGAAGATTAGAGGGGGGAGTACGCACGGGTAGGATCGGGCCCTCCCAGGCCCCTTGCACAGGCTAAGGCTACTGCGATCTACGCAGAAACAGGTCCCGGAAGATCCTGCTCCGCTACCAGTTTGAGAACTGGTCAGATCTTTTCGCCGACTGCGAAGCTATCTCAGTATGACTCAAGGGCCCTAACGGCAGCGGGATATAATACAGTCAAATACAGCATGCATGTCATGGTCATGGCTACCTGTACATGTACAACAAAACGTGCATTCACAGTCACCTTTTGGACCGATAAAGGTTATGTAGTGATTATCGTACCTCAGGAATCTACCCGACTGGGCCCCACTACTGAACTTTAGAGTCTTATTTTAGATTCGGGTCTTTGGTCTGGGTAGTTGCATCAGAGGTTAAAGCCGGGCCTCCAAAGCTATCTGTTGCAGCTCCTTCTGCAGCTCCTCCAAAATGGCTGGGGTCTACATAATTCAAGGAAGTGGGTTTAAGGTTTAGGATTTAGGTACGGGCTTTATCGGGACTTCTGCACAAAAGCTTGTTACATTGTTCTCTATCTATCATCTGCTTTCGCTTGCTCTCCTTCCGCCTCTGCCCCTCTCCACCTCTCCCCCCGCACCTCTCTCGCTCGCTCGCTCACTCTCGCTCTCGTTACATTGTTCTCTATCTATCATCTGCTTTCGCTTGTGCTGCGTCTCTCTCCTTCCGCCTCTGCCCCTCTCCACCTCTTTCCCCGCACCTCCCTCGCTCGCTCGCTCGCTCTCTCGCTCTCTCGCTCGCTCGCTCTCTCTCTCTCTCTCTCTCTCTCTCTCTCTCTCTCTCTCTCTCTCTCTCTCTCTCACTCCCTCCGTGGTCATCATACACAACACAAGCAAGACGAGCTTTTTACATTTGTAGTTGGCTTACTCGAGTTGATGCATTCGTCAGAGGAGGTTAACTAAGCCGGCTGATACGAATACATACACGCAGGGGAAAATAAGGCAATGTACATGTATCTACACTGCTACGAAGGCAAAGGCACACGGGGATTTGCATGAAACTTCGCATGTCTGCCATGTCTGTGTGTTGGCAGGGAGGGTCTAGGGTGCCTTCGAGAGCTGGGTTCCGGCGGAGAGGCATGGTATACAAACATACGAGAGTTTGTGTTAGTCGTTATATTCTGCACATTTTGCCAAACGCCCTTATCACTATCCAGTGCTCTGATCCTGCAACAGAAGCCGAGCAACCTTAAACTCTGAAAGATGCTCGACCCTCATCTTGAAATTCACGCAATAAGCATCCTGAAACGATTTGACTCAAAGCCACAGACATGGTAGCTCACAAAATCCCTACTCGCGCTCCAGTTCCTCCAGCAGCCATGTTCAACAGTAGAAACTTAAAGACACAAGGCCCAGGACTATGGGGTTTGCGTTTGTAGGCTGTAGATTAGACGAGCGGTGGCAGGTTCGGTTTGCGCAGAAGTCTGGAGACTTCCCTCCCCGAAGCATCAGCACCCCAAATCCTGCAGCTCCAATACCAAAGGGCTTATGTTATAGTATAGTATGTACTTTGGGGGCCCAAATACCTACTAAGTACCTACTATAGTGGTACATTGACGCTTTGGAAATTACCTACAGTTTTCACTGCAATACCACGCTATGCTCTATTTTGGGGGTTCCCATTATAGTTTATCGTAGAATATACCCCAAAACACAACTCTAATTAGTAAGGCCCCCTATATAGCGCCCTTGTAGATCCCTTATGATACCCCCTAGAGGCCCTTCAATAAGAACCCTTACAAGGAACCCTAAAGGGCTTTCTTCGGTTTTGTATAGTCCGTTGGGGATTTCACAGGATCCTTCAAGCTTCGAACGTATGTAGGATCCTGATTTGGAAACCTTGGGCCTTTGGGTTTAGAGTTTAGGGTTTACGGTTACATATTTTTCACAATAAGCCACAGACATGATGGTTAAACTTGCCGATTCCTACGAAACTATAAGAGCCCAAAAGTTTAAAGGTTGGGCATTGGGGATCTAAGTATATGAATCCTACTATTTTGGGGGTTATAGGCCCAGGGTTTCTTGATCAGGTTCCGACATTACTCTGGAGCTTGAGGGGCATTCGCGCAGTTTCGACAAAACAAAGATAATGTAGACGCCTTAACAATTAGAATGGGGTTCCTTTAAACGGGTCTACAAGGGCTACCATAAGGCTATTGTAAGGATGTAATACAATTATATTCAGTTAAGTGCCTTATTTAGTTTTTCATTTTTTTTGCGGGGAGTTATTCGAGTAAAGTGTATAGTTACAATCTTATAAAGAACCCACACAACAGTACAGGCATTTCTTCTGACCCCTCTATTGCTGGTTTCGGGTCGTTGCTTGAGGAGCATGCATTCCTCCTGCAGGAAGAGATTTCCAGGATTCTGGAGTTCCCGAACATAAAACCCGCGGCGAATGTTATGAACATAGAAGTTTTAACCTAAGGACCCATCCCACAACGAACCGAAAACCCAAAACCCTAAACCTTTGAGCCCTAAAACTCTCAAACTCCTTAACTGAAACCCCTAAACCCAACGCTAGGAAGCTCCCGGATATCGTCGACTACCCGCCTCCGATGCCGAAGGAAGCTTCCTGAAAGCAACTGGGGAGTGGTTTTCCACCAACTAAATGTGGGCGTCTGGTTCTTGTTCACCAAATCCAGGACGCGGGTTCGGTCTCTTTGCTGTGCAACTCTCAAGCTTTTATCCCTGAGCCCTAGACTTTTACATCCTCAAACCCAAAACTGAAGAACCCCAAGCGAATCGTGCACCATGGGCTTTCGGATAGTCTGCGCCATGGAGAGCCACTGCCCTCGGGGGTTTGGGCTTGTCATGATTGCATTGCTGTACGTATACATACCTTGGGCTCAAAGTACCTATATACAGCGTTTTCTTAACACTATTTGGATACATGGACCCATGGAGATTTGCTATCAGTGCGTTGCTACGAACACGTATGCACTGACGCTGCAAGCACTACCAGCACCAGGTAGTCGTAAAAACCCGAATGAGCTTTGTTGTTGAGATTCTTCTCGCCGACTGGTACTCCCACCTCATCCTCCCAATGATAGACGCAAAAAATGATTACGCCTCCAAGTCAGGGATCTCCAGTTCTACACTGCGTATTTCACTTACCGTAAATTGTGACGTTGCTTCTGCTGCTCGAGGCACCCGGCAGCCGCGCGCTGCAGCATCGCTTCTCCAGCATCCGCCTTTACAGGGACTCTAGCAGAGCTTTGCTTAACACAAGAGCCGAAGCCCAAAACAACACTTAGCCGTGAACCAAACAAAACCCGAAGGCCACAACTAAAAAAGTGCCAGGTGTTGCTGGCGCAATTACACGTCCTGACTTAGCAGCCTTCCTCCCACACTCGTGGCTTAACGAAGCTCAAAATGGAAATTAAGTCTGAAACTCGAAACCCCAAGTCCGAGGTGTTCTACTTTGGTCCTTCTCCTGAATGTTATGAACCCTAAACCCGAAACCTTGCAAATCCCAAAACCACACGTCGGACCTGGGCTGTCCGTTCCCGTAGCGCGGCTTGAAGTTGCCTTGAAGAGAACCCCTGTAAGGCTCCAGTTGCTTGAATAGTAGGTTACTAACCACGTCAGCGTTTAGGGTTTTCGGTTCCAGTTCCGGTAGCCCACTATTTAGGTCACTGGAGCCGGGCATATATCATATGCAACCGAGCAACCCATGCTTTAGGAAAGTGCATCCCTGGGTAACGGCTACCTGCACATTGACAACTAGAACCTAAAACCCGGAGGTCTTAAACCCAAAACCCTGAACCCAAAACCCTAAACCCCAAAACCCTAGACCCCTTAACCCTAAACCTCTCTTACCAATTATAATTTAAACCCCAATGACCTTCGTCGGCCAAAGCCAAACCTTCGTCGGCCGCGGCCAACTTTCGTCGGTGAAGGCCAAACCTTCGTCGGCCAAGGCCAAAACTTCGTCGGCCAAGGCCGAAACAAGGAAAAAACTCGTCGGCCAAGGCCAAGGCCAAACATTCGTCGGCCGAGGCCAAACCTTGGTGGGCCAAGGCCAAAACTTCGTCGGCCAAGGCCGAAACAAGGAAAAAACTCGTCGGCCAAGGCCAAACCAACACCCACTGATGCGCATGACGCTGCCCCCTCGTCCCGGCGAAGAACCCGCTGATGCGCATGATGCTCGCCCCCTTCCCGGTAACGTCGGCCAAGGCCAGGCTTCGTCGGCCAAGGCCCAAACAGTGCTCGTCGGCCAAGGCTAAGAATTCGTCGGCGAAGGGGTGGTGGGTGGGGCTGCGTGGGTGTGCTGGGGTGGGTGGGGTGGGCGGGGTGGGTGGGGTGGGTGAGGGGGGTGGCGGGGTGTCTTTGAAGTGTTGGGTCGGGGTTGGAGGTTGCGGGGGCGGATGGGTGGGGCCTATGCAGTTTATCGCGTGAGCCCAAAACCAACTTCTGCATACAAGCAGAAGTTCTAGTCTAGCTTAGCTCTTCACTTCTGCATCACTTCTGCATAGCTATGGCGTTTATGCAGAAGCACTTCTGCACAGGCCGGTGGCCTATGCAGACGTGGCCTGTCCTAGGCCCCACCCATCCGCCCCCGCACCCTCCAACCCCACCCAACACAAAAACCCCGCCACCCCCCTCACCCACCCCACCCACCCCGCCCACCCCACCCACCCCGCGCACCCCACCCCACGACACCTACCCAACCCCACCCACCACCCACCCACCCCACCCACACCCCAGAGATTCAAATCGGAGCCAGGATTGCGGACAACCTCGTCCGGAGATGGCTGCACAGGGCCTGCCACTGCAACTTCAATCACATCCCCTTCACTCTCCTTCTCGATTTCATCCTCAGCATCCTGCTCGACTTGGCAACTGATCATCGCCAAGGCTAAGGTCGGTCAGATGCAATCGGACAGAACTGTCGCAACCCATGACTCACAACTCACAACAAGCAACACTCGACTTGGCAACTGATCATCGCTAAGGCTAAGGTCGGTCAGATGCAATCGGACAGAACTGTCGCAACCCATGACGCACAACTCGCAACCAGCAACACTCGACTTGGCAACTGATCATCGCTAAGGCTAAGGTCGGTCAGATGCAATCGGACAGAACTGTCGCAACCCATGACTCACAACTCGCGACCAGCAACAATGTCGATACATGGTAAACATGTCCTCACCACCCCCGCCGCCCAACTGCGGCTCGCTCAAGATCTGGCACCGCTGGGCCAGTCTCTCCACCAGTTCCAGCCGAGGCTGCTCTTGATCCTCGGCCGGTGCATCGTCGTCCGATATCAGGTTGACGGGCTCCGCTGCATCGGGCGCCGCATCGGCCGCCGCATCTGCCGCCGCACGCCGCCGCTGTGGTCCGCGGCGGCGCTGCGCTGGCACACGAGGTTGGCGAGGGTCGCCCCCCTCTCCTTTCGATCGACAACAACCCTGTATGCCGCACATTACGTACCGTGCATACCGCAACTGTAAACATCGTGCCCTCGTGCATTGGGCCTGCAAAGAATGCCTGAAGCGCCTGGTGTTGAAGCTGACCTTTTTGCTGAGCGGGATCATGTACCATTCCTCAGGCACCTCATTGCATATTGCGACTGGGCTGTTCATTGCATTACAAGCAGCGTGTCGGTGGCAATGACACTGGCATCACAAGCAACTCACAACCAGGCATGCACAACGCACACAGGCAACGGACATGAGGTTTTCCAACCCACCCCATATGCGTCTAGTTGCTGACTGCTCAGCAATCTATGTCTCTGCGCGCATGTACAAACGACATCGGTCGACTGTACTGACTCCGCATGTTTGCCATTGGAGCAATGTCCACTGTGGCCTGTTTCTGTTTCTACCCGGTCTGGTCCGAAATCGTCGCATTGGTTATCAAGGATGTCGAAGTCGAAGGTGTCTTCTCAGTTTTGGTCAATGGGAATGCCCTCGTCGGTGGGGATGCCCCTCATCGGTGCCCTCGTCGGTGGACTCTCTGCATCCAAGTCCAGGAGAGAAGCACGTTTCCGCTTTGCCGGTGCCCGTGGTGTCGTTATCTGTGTTCTTGTCGGTGGAGTCACGAGGTTGTCCGCGCCGTTAGTTGTCCGCTGTCTATCAGGCGTCGTCGTTATCGGCTGATCGTGTTGCCGGAGTCTCAGTGCACTGGGACGCCAAACATTAGTTGAACACTTCTAGGTTTTCAGCAGAGAGCTTGTGCGGCTAGCCTCTTCAAAACTCAAATCATCAGGAAACTCATACTTTTTAAAACATCCAAGTGCGATGCGATTACATACTTGATAGTTGTCGGTGCTATCATGAAGCGATGTCGTGACCGCAGCTTTCAGCTGTTTTCCATCAATTTCTAAAAATCCGAAACATTCTACTTCCTGGAATTGAATTCGGTAACCTTACACTGCCTTGCAAAGAAAAGTTTCTCTCTAGGTGTGGGTTCTAGGGTTTGGCCTTCATGTTTGCGACCGCAACCAAGAACAGTTATTCTAAGGTTAACATTACGAGTGACTTTGCTGCCCAAGCTATCGGTAATTTTGGCTTTAGGATCTAAGGTTTAGGATTTAGGGTTTTAGGATTTAGGGTTTTAGGATTTAGGATTGTAGGATTTAGGATTGTAGGATTTAGGGTCTAGGATTTAAGGTTTTGGATTTAAAGGATTTAGGATTGTAGGATTTAAGGTTTAGGATTTTAGGATCTAGGATCTAGGGATATCTAGGGTTTTTTGGTTTCGGGGTTTAGGATTTAGAATTTTCCTTGGCTTTGCCGGCCGGGTGTCGTGCAGCTGCCTCGTGGGTGCCACAAAGTTCTTGCTCGTGCCTGCTGAGGCGTCACCTCGCCTTGGCATTGCCGCGCACAGGTAGCACCCCATCCAAGGCCACCAGCTCCGGCGTCGCCTGCTGACGAGGGTGCTTGATCAAAATAGAAAGCACAGCTTTCCAAGAAAACCTTTGCTTGGTCTCGGAGGTGCTTGTCGCTTTGCCGTTTTTGTCGGCATTGCGAAGTTCTCGGAGCTTCTCTCTGGCCTGCAATAGCAGCAGTTCCGTAACCCTGCATTTCTATTGAATCTCATGCCTTTCGGTGAGGAGGGCCTCGTCGTCTCCTTCTGCCGCCTTTCTTTTCAGCTCCGTCCGCTTGTTGACGCGGTTGGTGTTCGCTGTTTCTCTCCGGCGCTTTTCGTCCTAGCGAGGGGTCTACAGTGGCTAGTGTTACGAACCGCAGCCGCCTCGCAGCCTGCTGGCCTGGCTCCGCTGGGCGACCTCGAGCTGCAGCTGTTGCAGCTCTTTGACTTTCGCCTCGGCATTGTGGGAAGCGAAGATATCAACTGAAAGTTCCTTTCGGGTTCCGCAGGCACAAGAAAATTCTAGCTCGCGGGCCTTGGCCGCCGCCTTTGCAGCACGGGCTTTTCCGCGCGCCACTTGTGCCGGCCGCTCCTCCTTTGCCAGTGTGGCGGCCACTTCTGCCTGTCGACTCCGGCCAGTCACCTGTTTCCTGAACTCTTCGACCTGGCCTCCAGTTCCTTGTTGCGGTTCATTGTGTAGCGCTGGTAGACGAAGCCGCGCGCGGCAAGGAGTTGCCGTGTTAACTAACGCAGCACGTGTGCAGCGCAAGTGCTCTGCCTGCGAGCACACTCTTCTGTTCACACCAACTCTTCTGTCACTTGCTCAGAGGCCGGCCACGAAGTCTAGAGCAGCTGTCACGGACGTAGTGTGTGTCAACTCCTTTTCGTGCTCCCCTTTGACAAGGTTCTGCATCAACACCGTCGTCCACCAGCCTCACGCAGCGAGCGTTTTCTAAGCTTTCTTCAGTATACAAGCAAGACTCTGCATTCGTGACAGCAGCTCTGCCTTCCAGCGTTTCCAGGACGTCTTCCCAGAGGTGTTACAGTATGTGCTCGTCATGCGTAAACTTCTAATTCGGTCAAATTGACTGCCTTTGCTAGGATTTGCACCACATCACACAAAATTGTTACTACCATAAGAAAAGACGTCATTTCATAAGAAGAATTCAACCACCATAACCGTGGTCAAACCCGAACTTGAGTTTCCTTCCCATGCACCACGGCATTTCCAAAGCTTATAATACCTCCGGAGCCTATTGCCTGGGAAAATTAACACTAAGTTGGAAAATGAAGCAAAAAATCAGCTCAGAAACCCTAAACCCTAATAGAGTATAGTGCGGGTGGCCGGGGTGGGTCGCGAGTGCTCGGCCTGGGGTGCTTCACACCCGAGCGCGCGCCTTCGCCTGACACACCCTAAACCCTAAACCCTTCGGAAGCCTGAACCCTGCACCGTAAACCCTGCAAACTCTACCCCTTCGGCTCTAAGGACTGATATGTTAGGGCTTTTGGGCCCAAAGACCATACTATATAAGGCTTCTGGGCTATTTTGAGCCTTAGGGTAACGGACAAACCCTAAACCATCAACCCCAAGCAGACACTATCGTCATACGGGGACTACAAGCGAGCTAGGCTCTAAGACTAAAGCCCTAAACTCTAAGCCCTAACATTCTTAAATCAAACCCTACACTCAAAACCCACCCCAAAAAAAAACCCTACCTCTAAGCCCTAGCATCTTTAAACCCCTTCTAGATTCTAGATCCTAAAAAGCCCTAAGCCACCTAAACCCTAAGCCCCAAACTCCTTAACCCTCCAAACCCAAAAATCCTCCAAAATCGTCTGTAAACCCTGATATAGGTAGGGGCCTGATTAGACTAGGGTTTTGGGTACATTTATGCTGTACCTATATCGAGGACCCCAAACTAATGTGTTTTTGGGCTGCCTTTGCAGTATGAATTTTCTAAGGAACCCTGAGGATTGAAATTGGTACATATGTCAGCTTTGCCAACTAGAAGTCATAATAAGGCTTCACCTGCGCCTGCTTTGGGTTTTAGACAAGCTGCAGCACCCTCGTCTTGAGGGCGCTGAGGCGGGTCGCCGCGTCGGCATCTGCGTCGTCATTCTTGTCCCGCTTCTTGTCCTAGCAAAGCTCAGAGTTCCAGACGACCTTACATATATAGTAGAATGTAGGGCTTCTGAATTAGGAATCACTCTAACGATTGGGGAAGGTATCCCGTTTGTTATCGGGGGCTTTGTACTTAAAAGCGGGGTTTGGGCCCACATGTTCGATAGTTAAATCCGGAGTACTACTGTGCCACTGTGTAAATGCGCGTTTAGGAATTGTACTCTAAGGTTCTTGGGACTTAGCAACTAGGATTCTATATAAGGTAATACTCCCAGCGCAGCCTGCACTCGATGATTCAAGGCTCCAACCGCTCCAGCCTGCTGGGTTCTTGCTAGGACTTAAGTTGCCATAATAACGAAGAAACCATAGCATTCACTATGGACCCCTATTATGGTTAACTTGAACTGAATTCCTTAACAAGAACCCAGCCTGTTCATCCTGGTGTGCATTTACGACAGCCGTCTTGCCACTCAGCAGTCCAACTTCCACTGTAATCGACATGGTGTGTGCTGCCAGGGTTTGGCGAACGCCGTCAAAAGCTTGGTTTTCGTCGCTTGCGAGCCTAGAACCACCAGGCCGTGCCTTGCTGAATGCCCTGCAGCCTGAAAACCGTAAGGCCTGAAACCAGCCAAAAACTCAAGCCTTCATGAGCCCTAATACCCTCGACCCCTGCAACCCGGCAAACCCTGAACCAGCAAAGCCTCAACCCCGAAACCCTAAACCCTAAACTCCAAACTCTAAACCCTACAGTAAACCCCGCTGAAGCCCTGTAGAAGTCCTTCTTCCCGGACTTGAAGTCAATCGGCGACAGTAGCTGCATCGGCTTCCTGGATGTACTGCTCTAACGGTGGGCATCAGGACCATGTACGTAGTTTAGGACAGTTTATAGGATGTACTATCTAACTAAGGTTTTAG